TTTTGGTTAATCACTTAGCCTTGTTTCGACCAATCTACACAGAATTTGGTACTAAGATACTTTTCTACAGGGAACACACATTGATAAACAAAAATGTTGAACTTCCCCATTTTTAGTGATTATAGGGGGATCCAGATGCCACAAAAAGCATACATTTAGGGCTTTTTGACAATTATTCCGCCGTATTTCGGCCATTTTACACGGGATTTGGTACAAAGATACTTTTTTTACAGGTCTCAAACAGATATATAAACAACTTTGTAATTTTTGTCTTTTACACAATCTTTCAACGAGGAGAGTAAAATTTGGAGTTTTCGTGAATTATTCATGTGTATGTCAATTAACTTACATGGGATTTGGTACAAAGATACCTTCTTGCAGGTCCCAAGCAGTCATATCGACAGTTTTCGAGTCTTCTGATGTCAATATTGGCCATGTTGGGGTTGCATGGCGAACACATGTTGCATTCGCCTGGGAGTGTTGGCCTCTTTAATAAAAGAATATATAAAGGTTTCACCATAGTTGGTGTTTAAATAAGGGGCCCCAGTATGGAATTCTGTCCAAGGCCTCCTCTGCATGGACATGCAGGCTAGTCTGTATATGTCGGAATGGACCGGTCAAGCGACAAACTTTACCCATCAAATCCAGAAATAATACTGACTGACATGGCTTTATATGACGACAAACTTGACCCACCAAATTAACTAATCCATTCAGAAATAATACTGACTGACATGGCTTTATATAGCAGATCAGTTGGTTTTATGGGATTTCTTGTCATTACTACAACCATTTATTTTACTTTAGTTGGGAATTGATTTTTTATCCTTCGTTAAATATTTCTTTGTTGTTGTTTTTTACGATTAAATGTAATCGGCCACCACAATTATTAATATATAATGTAAGAACACTTAAAGACTAAATTAAAAGTGGAATCAGAGTTATATGTCAACATAACTGGACTCAGTGAAATTAGAAGAGGCAAGAAACTGATTAAACTGCCAAATAATAACATGTAATGTTGAAAGCCTACTATTCAAAGGAATTGGAAGTAATGACTCAGGGGCTAAAAACAGAATATGGAAAGATTAGAATGATAATGACTATGACAAAAACTAAGATAATGGTTAACAAATATTGTAAGAAGGAAATGATTATCGTAAATTGAAAAAAGATCGGGGTAGCTGATAAATATGTATACTTACGTCTAGAAATGAGTTTGAATGGATATTAGGACGAAGAAATTCAAAGAAACACAGCAGTCTGCCAGCTTTTCGAAAACTGGGTTATAATGTACGTGAAAAGCAAATTTCCAGTGTCTACGCAGACAAGTTTTGAACTAAAGCACGATACCAGCAATGATATATGGGAGGGAAACCTGGCGGCTGAAAAAGAGAATGAAAACAAAACTACAAGTAGCTCAAATAGATATAGAGAGACATATGCTAGGAATCACAAGATTGGGTGGGAATAGAAACGAAAGCTAAAAAGATGGTAACGAAAAGAAAAAGTTGGAGTTGGGCAGGGCACATTGCTAGATAAAGAAGAAGCAGATAAGAACAGAAGACAACAATATGGCAGTCCATTAAGAGAATAAAGAAAAGAAGAACAAGACAGAGGTGGATGAATAGAGACAAGTATAAAATAGGGAACGGTGAAAGACATTAAAAGCGAAGCCATTAAGTAATTAAGGGAAGGTAATAACTAAAGAAAAGGGTTAATGTTTATATAATATTTAGCAAAAGAAAACATAAATGTTAAGCATGAATATTGTGGGGGTCGAATGTAATTATTTCCTTTATTTAGGTTTCCTATTATCGAACCTTTCGAATCAGCTTTTAAGAACTTTATTTACTTAAGATACGGTTGAATATATGATAACATTTGTTGTAAGTTATGTTAAACGGAATAACACTTGTAAATTATGTTAAATAGGATAACATTTGTTGTAAATTATGTTAAATAGGATAACATTTGTTGTAAATTATGTTAAACGGGATAAAACTTGTAAATTATGTTAAATAGGATAACATTTGTTGTAAATTATGTTAAACGGGAAAACACTTGTAAATTATGTTAAATAGGATAACATTTGTTGTAAATTATGTTAAACGGGAAAACACTTGTAAATTATGTTAAATAGGATAACATTTGTTGTAAATTATGTTAAACGGAATAACACTTGTAAATTATGTTA